AAGGTTAACCTTTAGTTCTCCATGATACCCGACAAGTAGAATACAGGTGCGTGATCCCAGAGCCCCCAAGCCCTAAACTCGGCCGAGAACCTGGATGACAACGTCCAGGAGGCGGGTCATGCGATCACTCAGGTTCTGGGATCTTGTTTGGCCTCTTCATGGGCTGTGTGCATGCCTCCGTTTCAATTAAGGGATTAGTTTGAGTCATTTTAGGGCTCAAGATTTGGTGTCTGCGGGTTTAGAGTGCAGGGTTTCGGTTCGGGCTTCGGGGTTTAGGATTTAGGATTTAGGGTTGAGGGCTAGTCTAGGGTATTCTCGTCAGATGATTAGAGTGGGTCTGGAAGTCTGGACACTGGGGGAGTAAAACCGAATCACCAACAGATCCCGCACGACCAGCATCACCATGATCCGCATCATAGTCACCATCACTCCCATTTTAGGGTTTAGGGTTTAGGGGTTTAGGGGGTTTAGGGTTTAGGGTTTAGGGTTTGTATCATAATCATCATGGTTGATGTGGTTTTGCTGGTAGTGATGGAGGCAGCAGCTTGTTTTACTCCGGCTACTATGCTGGCTTTGATTCTGATTGCGTGCCTGTGTGGTCCTACAGATGATGAAGATTCTGCTTATGATGTTTGTGATGGAAATGATGGTGTGTATGATGATGATGGTGACGATGATGATGATGGCACTATTTGTGATGTGGATGGTCATGGCGATGAGGTTTCTGTTGTTGAAGTAGAAGAAGTTTGAATTCCTGTAGTGATTCCATTCGCGTTCGTAGCATGTCCAATCGTAGCAGCATTCGTAGCCAGTGCGATTAGGTGGACTCGTTCCCACTGGGTGTACAACCTGGCAGCGCTTGAATCTAGCGGCCCGAATAAGTAGAACAGGGTTTTGGGGCCCATCACACTATAATTATAATAAGGAGCCGGCAATTATTAAGGCCCCTATATTATAGTACCCTTATCGTATACCTTACAGTAACCCTTATAGACCCCGTTAAAGGAACCCTAAACCCTAATTATTGAGGCCCCTACATTAGGCGGAGGAGGCGAAGCTCTAGGCCGGAGCAAGTGGACCCCCCCCCCCCGAGGCTTTGGGCCCAATCCCTAAACTGCAAGTCCCTTTAAACCTGAGCTCTAAACTGAAATCTGGGTTTTTCGTAGCTGGAATATTCTTGCAGTCGGAAAAGAGGCCATAAACAAACAAAGCTGTAAGCCGTAGAAAGTAATAAGGTGCTTGCGGCTTCCAGGTGCTGCGCCTGTGCGTGACGGAGGAGTCATGTTTTGGCATCCGATGGAAGCTCGAGGAGGCTTTCGGGGTAAGGGAAGGTAACTCTGAGGAACACTCCGAGGAACACCTTAAGGGTTACTTAGAGGGCAATCATAAGGTTACTATAGGACTATTACAAGGGTATTGGAAGGTTACGGGGATCTGGGGTACTTTGCATTTCCCTAAACCCTTCCCTAAACCCTAAACCCTGCTATAGTCGCAGAGAGGTAGCTATTCATAAATCATAAATGCAACAGGCGCCAAACCCTGAACCTTCAACCCACAAGCCAACCCAAGACCCTAAAACCTGGATTCGGTGTTCTAGCGGTCTTGGCCTGGGCTTAGATGGAAGCGACTCTTGTCTGATCTGGGAGTCGCAATGGGGGTGTCAGGGACCCTACTTGGAGGATCATGGGACTTATTAAGTAAGGTTATAAGTACCTTAATTGGGGTTATAAGTATATTTACCCTAATTATAACCCTAGTTACTAAGTCCCATGATCCTTTAAGTACACCCCGAGCCTTCCGTCTCGGATTGGCGTCACGGCAAGTCTAACGTGCAGTCGGCAAGCGGTTTGAGTTTCAGCCTTCGTCCTTAAGGCCTTTGTGCTTCGGGCTGTAGGATTTCGGGTTTCGGGTTTCAGGTTTAGGGTTCAGGGGGGGCCGGACAGGTGAAGAAGGACGAGCTCTACAACTCCACGGTCTGCATGCTGACCCGTCCCTGGGCTCTTGTTAAGGAGCTTGGTTTAAGATACTATGAGAAGGAAACCTTATCTTTTCTATAGGTCCCGATTACAGGGAACTCCAGAAAGTTGGAATATGGTTTCATGGTAGGATACCCTATAATTTACCATAGAAGGGTTAGGATAATCATATTCCAACTTTCTGGCTTGTACCTTACGGTAACTTGAATATTGACTGTAGGCCCGAAGCCCCTAAAAATCCCAAGCCTAAACTTGGACATTACCCAGCCCGCAGTCGGAAAAAGAAGTTCAACAAAAAGAACTTGAATATTAAGTTCCTTACCACTATTTGGCCTTAATCCGGTTTCCAACTTTATGGGGTTTACTGTATTACTATGTGGCAATTTGGGAAACTTTTTAATTTCCCTTATGGTTCCTATAGAGGTACCTATTCATAAATACTTTTCAGAGCCCCAAAACTACATCCCAGATTAAGTCCCTTACCAAGAACCCAGGTCCTGCCAGCGTGCCGAACAAGAGCCCCGAAGAGACGCGGCTCGGCTCCGCAGGATGCAGAGCCTCTAAAACAAGATACGTGGAGGACCATGGGACTTAGTAAGTAAGGTTATAAGTTATAAGTACCTTAATTGGGGTTATAAGTATAGTTACCCAAATTCTAACCCTAGTTACTAAGTCCCATGATCCTTTAAGTAGGGTTGATGATATAAGTCCTGCATTACCAATAAGGAATATGCCATAACTCCCATAGTTTAGGATCCTTAAGGTAATGCAGGATTTATACCATCGACAGTAGGGCCTTAATAGTTAGAATAGGCTTTCGGGGGGCCGGGTTTCAAGATAGGGACTAAGGAATTCGAACAGGCTTTCGTGGCCTAAATAGTTAGATTAGGCTTTCGGGGGGCCTTAGAGTGCCTCTTAAAGGGGTCTATAGGGGTTACAAAAAGGGGTTTCAAGATAAGGGGCCAAAGGAATTCGAACAGGCTTTCGCGGCCCTTGAGCTCCCTTGAAGGGGTTCTACCAATACTACGGTTGATGATATAAATCCTGCATTACCTTAAGCTCCCTAACCTATCGGAATTGTGATATATTCCTTATTATGGGTCATGCAGGATTTTTATCATCTACCGTAGTTTGGGGTTCTTTGTTACAATTTCAGTGGTTACGTGCCTTGTTTGATTAGAGTTAGGGTTTTGGTGTATATTATGCTACAATTAACATAAGGAACCCCCAAGGTAATGTTCGTAGTTACTCATGCGCCTACAATAGGCGTTAAACCCAAGACCCCAGGGCCTTCACAGCTTAATCTTACAATCTTACAGCCCTTCGCCCTGCACCCGAGAACCAAAAGCACTCTAAACCCTCCTAAACCCTAAAACCCAAAGCCCCGGATCCTGAAGCCTCAATCCCTCCAGCCGGAAAACTGCTCACTACTGGAACCCGGATTTTGGGTTTTGTAGCTTCACGGGCTGCGACTCGGGGACTACAGGTTAGCTTGGGTTGCGATTGAGGGTTTAGGATATACTTGGAGGGGCAGGGGGCTTAGTAAGTGGGTTGTAAGTAGAGTTATAAGTACCCTAAATGGAGGTACCCCAATTATAACCCTACCTATAACCTACTTACTAAGTCCCCTGCCCATCCAAGTAGGGTGTACTGTTTTGGGCGTAGAACGTGCAGAGTTTGGGTTGAGGTTTTTTGGGGATTTTGGGGTGTGCAGTCTAGGGCCTCCCACAACCTTACTTGGCGGGTCGGGGGACTTAGTAACCATAAGGGGTTCCTTTAAAGGGGTCCTTTAAAGGGACCTATAGGGATTCTATAAGGGTATAGGTTTTAGGGTTTAGGGGGACTTAGCAGCTGGTTATTTTAGGGACTTATAGGTACCATAACCCCAATTAGGGTCCCTTTTAGGGTACTTATAAGTCTACTTACTACCTACTTCCTAAGTCCCCCGACCCAACAAGTACACCTTGAGGAAAGACGGCATCCGGACTTTCTATCTCACGAAAAATGACGTCGCCGCCAGGGACTACGCCTGGAGCCCAGCCTTCTGTTTCCAGAGGCCCCACCAATACTCCTCATCTAAAGGAACTGTTGTTACGGATACACCACAGACCTGAACGTTTTCGCAGTTGAAGTGTCAGTAGTCGGATAAAGGGTCGCACTTCGTCTTAGTTATGGGAATACTCGACACCGCAAATGAAGGTTTAGGCTCTTTGGGGGTCTTCATGATTGGAGGTGTGGGGCTATGTTATAGCTACATGGGGACGAAAAAGCCTTCCCAGTGCCAACTGGACAAACCCATTTCTTACTTGTCCAGTGTCCTTGGGAGCTAAAGGTCAACATTTGGGATTATGTAAGGACTCCTGTGCACCCAAAAAATATTGCAGCGTAATTACTGTGCTACAAAGAGTACCCTAAACCGTAAATCCCGTGCCTTACTCACTACTAAGAATATAGTAGCTGTACCACTCAGCCGAAAGTCAACTCGTCGCTTGCTTAGAATCCTTCGTTGGTCTGCTGCTGTTCGGGGTCTAGGGATTTTGTGGCTTTACAGGATTTCCGTATGTGTTCGTGAGGGCCGCTACGGGGGCTTACTTCTAGGGTGTTATAGAGTTTATTCCGGCCCTACATGTGGTTGGACTTCTGGTTTTACGGCCACCTGACAGTGAACCTCGTAATGTAGGAACCTGACCAAGAAACCTTGGGCCTTCATGAGGGTTCCTAATATGAATCCTACTATTTTGGGGTTATAGGCCCAGGGTTTCTTAATCAGGTTCCTACATTAGCGGTTTTGACTAACCTACTAAGCAGCATACCCTGAATCCCAGTAAGCTGAACCCTGAAACCCGAAGCACTGAACACCCCCGAAGGCTTGGGGTGTAAGGTTTAGGGTCTTCACGCTGCGAATGCTACCCTAAGCACCCTAAACCCTAAACTCCTACAGCCCTAAACCCCTAAGCCCCAAACCCCTACACCCTAAACCCTAAACCCTAAGCCCTAAACCCCAAACCTCCGACATCCGCCGAGATGAGAGACCCTCGGCGCCGCGAAAGCCTCATCGCCCAGCCTCATGGCAGCTTATAGGTAGAGAACTACCTTACCCTACCAAGCCCTACTTTGTTGCAGGTTCTTGGGGCCCCACACAAAAGTAGGTTTTGGTAGGTTAAGCTAAGAACTTCCCACAAGCCTAAGAGTTTAGGCTTACGGTTTCAGGTTCGGGCCCGTTTTCCGCATTCTGTCTGAGGGGAGGTGTACGGCTCTCATGGTGTAAATTCCGGGGGTGTCATCGCCTGAAAACCTCAACGAAGCTCAGCGGCTAAGCCCCGAAACAAGCCACCTTTGCCCCCCTGCCCAACCTAAAGCCCCTTCAGCCCTCAACCAGCCCTAAACCTTAAGTGGTGAGACAGTGATGTGGGATGTGTGGCTCTCCTAGAACCTCCTGGTACCCCGTGCCTACCCCGTAAACCACAGCTTCTGGAGCCTCGTGAACCGCAGCCTCCACTAAAGGGGCCTTAATAATTAGGGCTTAGGGTTCCTTTAAGGGCGTCAATAATGGTTACTATAAGGTATACCATAAGGGTACTATAATATAGGGGCCTTAATGATTACCAATGCTGTTTCTTGGGGTTCCATTTTATAAGTACAGTATAATATAGCATAATGGGCCCAAAACACTATTCGAATTGTTAAGGCCCCTATGTTAGACCCAACACCCAGTGATGATCATGGGAAGAGCAGCGAGAAACGTGGGGATGGATGGCAACGGGGTCGACAAGTGAGTGGTTGTGGTGGTGAAGAGTGTGTAGCATTTCGCAATGCGGATCCCAGCTGAGGGATGCTGAAACAAACTCCGGGAGCAGTTTTTGAGTAAGCAATGGAATTCCTTGTAAAACGAGAAGAGTAAAATAAAACGAAAACGAAGATGTGCTACATCATACAGTCCCAAAGTCATCCCAACTCCCGTACAAAGATAAAGTAGACAGAACGATAACCGAATTAAGGGTCAAGCAAATGGGCGTGGGGATTGCACGCACACTCAGCGAGGGAAAAGGCGCCCAAACACAATTTAAGGTGTGGGGTTTGGTATAGAAGCCGCATAACTACCAGTATTATGCTTTCGGGTTCCCAGAGGTATGAACCTCAATGATCCGAAGCCCTCAAAGAGGGAGTTACAGCAAACTGACCTGAAGCTACGCCTAGAACATGAGGATCCTTCCGAAACTGGCACCTCTTAGTGTCCGACTGATCCGTGCCCCGGCTGAAAGGATCATGGCTTCGACCTCAACCGACGATGCTGTGGCCACCTGGATGAAGTTTTAGGGGCGCCCGCAGCACCCAAACTTCAATCAGGCTTTAGGGTCTTCGATTAGGGCTCGGAGTTCTGTAGCCCTTGTTCTACTTGGAGGATCATGGGACTTAGTAAGTAAGGTTATAAGTACCTTAATTGGGGTTATCAGTATAGTTACCCTAATTATAACCCTAGTTACTAAGTCCCATGACCCTTTAAGTAGACCATAAAGCCCCTCTTATAATAGAACCCCTATAGATCCCCTTTAAAGGAGCCCTTTAAAGTATAACCCTAGTTACTAAGTCCCATGATCCTTTAAGTAGGGGTAGCTGGAAGGTTTCCGGGACTGAAAGCCGGCAGTCTATAAGTAAGCTCATCCTAGCCCTTTATCGACACACCCCGAACCCTAAACACCGAAATCCCAGACAGGCTTAGGGCCTGTTGAGACCTTCAGGGACGTTAGGAGTAGACTTGTGATACTACATGCATATTATACTGACCTTTTTCGAAGCTGTAGAGTAGCCCTAGAGAACTCGTAAAGTAACCATTGCAGCGATGAGCCAAAAGCAGGCCTCTTCACCTCTGCATGTCTTTGAAGAATCCCGGCTCCCGGCATACGGAAGGGCAAATGTTGTCCAGAAGCTTAGAGAGACAATGCTGTTGCCGGCACTGTCCGCTCTCCGGAATGACAGCACAGAAGAACTGACGCTCGCAAGATGTTGGATTGATGTGCACCTTGCTATTCTTGTTGGTCTTCAGCAGCAGCAAAGTTGTCGATATGGTATGGCCGGCGGCACCACACCCTAAACCCTAAACCCTAAACCCTAAACCCTAAACCCTAAACCCTAAACCCTAAACCCTAAACCCTAAACACAATATCTGAAGCCCTGCGGTTGATGAACACGACGCTGCATTCTCCATACTCGGGGAGTTTACGATGGTAACTCGCATACTGTGGAATGAACCGCAAAACACCAAAGCCCTTTTTTGCGCTAACCCCTAACCCTTAAAAATTAGCGGCTTGAATATTGAGCAACAGTGTTACTCATTCCAGTACACTATACCCCAGCACCGGATTCTTATTATCAAGGCCCCTATATTCATCGCCTACCCTTGAACAGTGGAGGGCCAGCATGCCTTGTCAGGAGCGCACGAAACAGTTCTACGAGCTGAGGCGGGGTTCAATGTGTGTGAGGGGTTTGCATGAGCCAGGCTTGGATTTCGGCCTCCCAGGGGTTTCAATATCCCTTAGCTAAGGATCCTTAAAGGGACTTATAAGGGTTCTAGAAGAGACTTAAGGAATATACCGTAAATTATACTGGGATCCCTAACATGATTTAAGGTATATTCCTCAATTAAGGGCTATTGGAGTCTCTGGGTTCAGCGTCATGGGTTTAGGGGTCCAGGGTTCAGGGATCCGAGTTGCGGCAGGCAATGTGAGGTTCAGGAGTGTAGGTGGTAGTTTCCGAAAATAGGGGACCCTAATGTAGTACCCTAAATAGTAGGATCCTGATTATAAGGACCCCCTAATAAGGTACCCCTAATTTTCGGAAGCTCTCAGGTAGTGCAGGGTTTCGAGTCCCTGGCTTTCGATTAGAGCTGAAAATGGCCTTCTTTCGTTTTATCAGTATCAGCTAGTCACTACCTGCACCCTAAGAAACCTACTTTTTTAAGGACTTGTATAAAGAAATCAAATTAGGGAACCCTAAAAAGGAAGGTTCCTTCGGGTCCAGGTAAACCCTACCGCTACACTTTGAACCCCTCAAGCGCTTGAACAACACTCAGAAGTCGACCCAAAAAGGGATCTATAGTAGGGTTCTGGGGGCCTTAATGATTAGAGTAGGATTTCGAGGCCCATTATACGGTTTCTCAGGGTCCAAATCCACAACCCTGAATTCCAAAGCCAACAGCTCTGAACAACCATCCGCGCCAAACCTCAAAGCCGACTTCCAAAAGCCCGAAACCCTTACAACGGTTTAGGCTTTAGGCTTTAGACCCAAGAAAACCCGTACAACACTTTTGTAACAGCTGGTGAACCTTTCTGCAGCCTGAGCGTCAACTCAAAATCCGTCTAAAGCCCCTTAGCCGCAAACATGAAGACCCCAACCCGGAACCCTTCAAGTGCAATCTCTGCACCTGTTATCCTCAGCCCCCAAAGCTTAACGCCCCAACCCCGAAACCCTAAAGCCCGTGCATGAGGTGCCGGTGCGATGAAAAGAGCTGCCGGTCGTACACCGACGGTGAGGGGCGTGCTCCATGACTGCATGGCAGTTATCATTTAGTGATGTGGGTGGTTGTCAAAATTATGGCCCCTTTTGGGTACCCGAAATATTAGGTGCCGTATTATACTAAGGACCCAAAAAGGGACCCTAATTTTGACAACCACCCATGTTAGGGTTCAAGGGGTCAGCGCTTCAAGTTTCAAGTTTCAGGATGTGTGGAATCAGGGTTTACGGGTTCAGGGATTTTGGGATTTAGTTAAGCATTTAGGGCACGTCACTTGGTCTTGCAGCAGGTGGAAGGATCAGGAGCAACTGCCACAGGTATGGCAAGGGTCAGATTTCATTTTGAGGAGGGTGCTTAGAGGATCATGGGACTTAGTAACTAGGGTTATAATTAGGGTAACTATACTTATAACCCCAATTAAGGTACTTATAACCCTACTTACTAAGTCCCATGATCCTCCAAGTGGGGGGGTGGTTGGGGGTCTCTGGTTCAGAAGGAGCGCCAGTAGACTGATCTTGCGGACAAGCTGGGCTTTTTACCGGGTATTGGGGGTTGAGGTTTTGGGTGTAGTGTGTTTGAGGTTCTGTATGCCGTTCTGTTGAGGGTGTTGAGGGTTGAGTTTGAAGGAGAGCATGTCTTGACAAGGCCATCTGTAAAAGCCATGTCAAGTATCGAATCGTAAATCGTGAGCCTTGGACCATATACCTTAAGACTTGAACCCCAAACCTCTAAACCCTTAAACCCTAGACCCTAAACCCTGAAACCCCTATAGATCCCTTATAGTACCCTTATAGATCCCTTATAATAACCCTCATAGATCCCTTGAAAGGAACCCTAACCCTAAACCCAGCCTTTTAAACCCTAAGCCCTAGACCCTAAATTCCTAAAACCCTTCTAGATCCCTTGTAGTACCCTTTTAGATCCCTTATAATAGCCCTCATGGGTCCCATTAAAGATCCCTTATAGTAACCCTCATGGGTCCCTTCATAGGAACCTTAAACCGAGCCTTTTAAACCCTAAGCCCGAAGCCCGTAAACTCCGAACCCTAAGCCCTATAGATCCCTTCGCAGGAACCTGAAATCCCCTTTAAACCCTAAACCTTAAACCCTAAACCCCTTACAGATCCCCTTATAGATCCTTTGAAGGAGCCCTTAAATGAACCCCTATGGGTACCTTAAGGAACCCTTAAACCCTAAACCCGAAGCCCCTGGAAGGAGAAGAGCTGGTGCTTCCTGGACGAGAAGACAATCCATCGATGCCATGCCAAGGGGTACCAAGTGCGGGGCCCCAGGGCGTAGGGGTGTAGGGGTGTAGGGTTTGGGGTTTAGGGGCAGTCTGAAGTCTAAGGTTTTTTTTGATAAGGTTGTGTGTTGTTTTGCTTAAGTAGCGTTTTCCATACCATGTTCTCATGCATACCTACATACATACGTACATATATATACAAATCGCGTGGCTTGGTAAGGGTTTATAGGGTCGAATCTAGCGGGCGGAATAATTTGCATGAGTATTCCCGGACCGTCCCCACATCGATAGCTGTACTGTAATATGCCCCCTACTCTATTCGTTCAGGCCCCTGCGTTACTTGTATTAAGATCTGAGCACAAATTGGATGCGCTAATTGTAGTGCTCAAAGAAGAACACTCGAACATTTGCCTAGATTCCCCCATGGTGTGAATAATGAGGACTGAGAATGACGATTTGATACTGATGATCAGCATGAGCATGAGACCGACCCTGATGTTACTGTACTTAGTATACCATCTTGTACTAATTTACTACCGCTATACTACGCTTTCAGAAAGATCGTAGAGAATGTTTACAGTATTCGGGCCAGCAGTGGGTGTTCCCAAGCCCTCAACTTAACCCCAGACCAAACTCTAATGACCCATGCTTCAGATTTTTAACGACGTGCAGTCTCAAAGCCTTGCACCCTGGCCTTTGCAGCAGGTGTGGGAGGACCCGGACACGAAGAAGCCTGGCGTAGATTGAAAGAAGATTTTTTTGATCCTAAACCGTTTAGGGTTTGGGTTTTGGCTCGAGGCTACATGTTGCGCGATCCCTATATTCAAATCAACAGTTCGCCGCCCCAGCTCGAGAGAGAGAGAGAGAGGTGGTTGCGGGGCGTGGGGGAATTCGTGTGTCCTCCCACACCCAAAACCCCAAATGCCAAGCCCTAGGCCTTGAATCCCGAATCCTCATCCCCAAACCGTCAAGTACGGAGTGTGAATCCTGGAAAGTTGGAACATGGGTTTAGGACGAGTAGTGCTGGGATCCCCTATACTCTACCTTACGCGCATGAGGATCATGATGTTCCAGCTTTTTGGCTTCGACTACAAGGTATATTCCTTAATTAGCGGATGTTGGACGTCTCTAGGAATAAACCCTAAACCCTACATCCTAAACCGTGCAATAGGGTGTTGCAGTCTCTGGGAATAAACCCTGAACCCCAAATGCTAAACGGACGTTGGAGTCCCTGGGAATAAACCCTAAACCCTAAATGGGAGTTTCCGAAGATAAGGGGTACTGTACCTTATTTTGGGTTCCTCATAATAAGTATCCTACTATTTAGGGTACTGTATTAGGGTCCCCTGTTTTCGGAAATCCCTAAATCCTAAACCCCTGTGCGTGGACCAGGAAGAAGTGGTCTCGGGACGTGTGCCACAAGGTGGCTTTGATGCACACAGTGCTCGTTGACTCTTCTTTAGGGACCATGGGAGATAGCAAGTAGGTTAATGTAGGGGCCTTATGTAATTACCAATGCTAGTCTGGGGGCTCCTTATGACAGTTATAGATGATGGGGCCCAAAACCCTATTCTAATTATCAGGCCCCTATGTTATACGTAAGGTGACGGGTACCTTGGTGCCTATAAACCGTACGCCCCACCTGTTTACTGAGATGATTCTTCACTTAATCTGTATTTGTGTTTCGGATATTTGGGGGCTTGGTGTTGGGGTAGTATTGTTCCGGGTGCTTTTTTATGGATCAACAGAGCCACGGTTGAGGCTTCGGGGTTCAGCGGTATATCATACGAGGCCATACGGAGGTTTGCAGTAGGGCGTACGTCATCGATAAGAAGCGTCGTAGTAGCGAGTCGCCCTAAGCCCTATAAACGTCCAATCACCTAAACCGTAGACGCTGAGGGAGCAGGGTGTGTGATCAGAGAATTCGCCACAAGATCTGCCTACCTCTAGCCCACAAGATGACTTCTCGAAGGGCACATCTGAGGGTTTCACAATGGGGTACCTCAAAGACATAGCTTCTTGTGGGCTACAGGTATACCCTATGTGCACGGAGTTCGACAAACCACAACTCACAGCAATCATGCAGCAGGTAAACAGACTTGGAGTGCTTTTGATAGTCAAAGAGTTTCTTCGTACAGATGCCCCCGAAAGTTTCAACTTGTGCAGATGAGGCTGATGCGGTCTCTTCTAATTCCCAAGTCTTCGAGAACACGGATCACATCACCTGCTGCCAGAAATTTATAGCCCTCTAGAAGCTCATGTCCAGGAGGGAAGAGAAGATCATGGAGACGATAGGAATACCTTAAACTTAACCTACCAAAACCTACTTTTTTGTAGGGTCCCTAAAAATATTAAGCTTTACAATAAGGACCTACCAAAAAAGGTAGGGTTTGGTAGGTTAAGGTAGGTATAGGGCTTAGGGTCTAGGACGTTCGATCTGCTACCGGATGTGAGCAACAAGGCCAAAGCCGACAGACTCCTGAGCCCTGAAAACAAGACCGCAAGCCTGTGGAAGGGTTTAGGGTTTAGGGGTTTAGGGGTTTAGGGGTTTAGGGGTTTAGGGTATTGGGGTTTAGGGTTTAGGGTTTAGGGTTTAGGGTTTAGTTAGTAGCGCCCCATTTTGGGGTCCTTATAATAAGGATCCTACGATTCAGGGTACTATATAAGGGTCCCCTGTTTTCTGTGAGTGGCTACACTTCACACTTTTTGGGATAATAGCACCCACTATAAAATTAAAAGTGTACACTTTTGGGGGCGTATGAGCTCAGCAACTAAGTAAGCTCTCCGAAGCCCTGCACCCTCGGAATACCGCCTAGAGAACCCTCGCTAAGGATTAGTATTGGCAAGTATTCCGCCCCTAGATCAGGTTTTCGATCCCGTTTTTGAAGCGCTCCGGGACGCAGTAAAGAGTATGTTGCAACTGGATTTAGTAGCGGGAAATCTCAGGGACAGAAGCAGCATGACTAATTCTTCCGATCACCACATCACCCCAAACCCGAAACACTGAAGTAGAATGCATCGAAGCTACAGATCACCCCAAACCTGAACTCCGAACCCGAAACCCGAAACCCTAAACCCTAAACCCTGAACCCGAAACCATCAATCGCGAGAAGTTGCTTGGCAAGCCTATGACGCCACCCAGGCTGACACTTACGAGGAAAGCCGCAGCCTCAGCGGAAAATAGGGGGACCCTAACGTACTACTAATATTGTACTGTACCCTAAAATAGTAGGATCCCTATAAGGACCCCCCAAATTTAAGTAAGGTACCCCCCGTAATTTTCGGAAACTCCCATGCGTTTCTGTGGTATGTGAAGACGCTCTGCACCCGAGCACCAGGGGCAGTTTGTCAAAGGAAGGTATGGTGGTATTCACAATACCCCGAAATACTCTTCTGGGCAGTGGCGCCGCAAAATCTCGCAAAGCAAAGGCACCACCCCGGAAGGCAAGATTAAAGCACATCACCGCCACATCAGGTTTTGGCATTACATTGAGCCGGGTGGGCGGGGAACAAACGTGAGCGTCCTCTGGTCTCACAGGACAATTTTCTGTTGCTCCGCGCCCGCCGCAAGGTTGTGCAGGAAAAGGGGCGGAACAAAAAAGCAACCTCTGGACGCTGCGGGGCGACAGCCAAAAAACCAATATCTTGAAGGGCTAGTGGCAAGGAGTATTAGAGCCGCTCCCACCGTCGTAGCCAGAGGCTGGAAAAAGGCGTATCAGTGGTAAGATTCTGCAGATTCGTTGCTGAAAGCAGTCGGATTGCTGAGTTTGCATCGTGGGATACTGGCATTACAAACTGTTTGAAGTGGGTTTCGTTCCTAAACCCTGAACCCTGGCCGCGAAGCCCTAAACCTTAAACCAGATACCAGGAGGTCTTTGCAAAAGCTCGTTGAGAGCGGGCCTGGATCCTACAAGATCACTTTGCATTAAAACAAACCAGATTCCAAGACTCTCAGCTGAACTTAAAACGCAGCCTGCGCGGGTTGTAGATCCCTAAACCCTAAACCCCTAAACCCTAAACCTCTTAGATCCCTAAACGAACCTCCAGCCCGAGACCCCTAAACCGCTAAGCTCCCAAACCCCTAAGCCCCCAGACAATCCCTTGTAGATCCCCTTATAGATCCTTTAAAGGAACCCTTAAAGGAACCCTTAAAGAGACCCCTAAACAGCTAAGCTCCTAAACCCCGAGGTTGTAGATGCTCTGACATCGGCCGCTTGCAAGCAGAAAGCTTCAAGGAGACGGGTGGATCACATTTGTACCATACAGTTTAGGGTTCAGGGTTTAGGGTTTAAGGGTTTAGGGTTTAGGGTTTAAGGGTTTAGGGTTTAGGGTTTCGGCTTCAGGGGTTCAGGCTTCAGGGTTTAGGGCTTAGGGTCTCCAAGACTCTAACCCCTGTCGTATCCTTCTTTCTAATCAAGTCTGATGACCCACCATGCGAACTTTTCCCTGCAACGCCACCGCACACCTTACCATGGCTCGTAGATTCCACGGACACGGAAGTTGCGGTTCGCGGGTTGATTTGTCGAATGGCCCCTAAACCCTAGGGCCGTAGGGTTTGCAACTCCCTAAATCCCTAATGCCTGAAACCAGAATCCAAAACCTGGGGGTTTACATCTGGAAGTATGCAGCCTCATTAGCAAGTTATTTCATGGCCTATACAATGATAAGCATGAGCAAACAAACGAATGTACAAATAAATAAGCGAATAAACAACTAGATAAATACATAGATGAACAAGTGAACACATGTACACGTGAACAATTACCAACAGGAAAGGAAACCTACATACATTTGTGTGTATATATACACACATACATATACACGTCTTATATCACATCTTTAACATGTACACATATATGTATGCATGTATATATATATATATATATATATGTATGAGTATAACCTATTTTAGAAGCCACAAAACTCTTGACAGTTATCCAACAAGCAAGAGTTGAATGAATGAACACACGAAAGAATCAATGAATGAATAAATTAGTGAGTGAGTGAGTGAATGAATGAATGAATGGGTGAATGAATGGTTGAATGAATGGTTGAATGAATGAACGAACGAATGAATGAGCGACTGCATGAATGAATGAATGAATGAATGAATGAATGAATGAATGAATGAATGAATGAATACCGGAGAATATTGTGAATGAGCGGTTGAAAGAACGAATTCCTGAGAATTTACATATACATACATACGTACATACTTATATGTGCATATATATATATACACATACATAAATATATACTGTCTAACACATGAAACATACACAATTTAGTTTCAGCATACGCAACATATAAGATTTAGGAGCTCAAGATATGATGATACTGCGGAGCCGACTTCTGCACATCGAGACCCTTCAGTCACTTCTCGCATGTGAGCCTAAGCACTAAGAGGGTTTCGAAGGCACTGGTTTAGCGCCTCGGTCTTTAGGGGTTAAGGGGTCTAGGGCTTCGAAGATCAAGGTTTAGAATGGTTCCGAGGGGTCCCGGAAGGAGCCAGCGGGAATCCAAAGGGACCCTGAAAGCCAAAAGGAAACCTGAGGCTTAAGCCGCCAAGAGGTGCCTTAACAGGGGGTTTAGGGTTTAGGGGTTAGGGTTTTGGGATGCTGAAGCAGAACCCTTGAAAGAAGCTTAACAGGAGCCCTAAGAGGAACCCTCAGAGGAAGCCTACGCGGAACCCTTACCGGAAGCCAGGAGGCACGCTAAATAAATGGAAACCGTGACAGGAACCCTGAGCCCTAAACCCGAAACCCAAACCCCAACCCTGGACCCGAGACCTATATCCTAAACGGTCAAAGGGATCCCTGTTGTAGAACCTGATGGTCCCTTTGTTCTAGGACCCGTTTCAAGAACCCTAACAGGAAGCCGGAGAGAACCTGAGCTCAGGTATGGTCCCCTCGCGAGGAAGCTCCGGCGTGAACCAGGACCTCTCTTAGGCTTTAGGGGTTTAGGGTGTTGGGGTTTGGGGTTTAGGCTTGAACATACCCTTTGGGGTTTGGCGCTGGCATTCGAGGCACGCGACGAAGAACAGTGGCAGCTTTCTGCAAAAGTTTGTCGCAGGAAGTGAACAGAAGTGTATAGTTCCTCGACCCCAACCCCGAAGCCAAACAAGACTTGGCCACTCCCCTAGGTCTTGCTTTGCATTGTTCAGGGTTGGCTGTGTTTTTTGGTTTTGGGGCCCATGTCGAACCATTTCCAAGCCAGGTATAATCTAACACACCCGAAAGACGCATTCTTTTCATGCTATGTCGACATGGGAACACGATAAACGCCTACGGGTGATTGTGCGCAAGAGTACCTGAGCCCAGGGCTGCATGGGACCATCGTGGAGGGGTGCACTGCTTCAGGTGAAGGTTAAGGGTTTAGGGTTTAGGGAGGGGTCTGCCTTGCTTCCTACATCAATCTCACCGCCAATGACTTGGGGTGATACAGGGAGCCCGACAACCCTAAGCCCTGAACCCTAATTCCTACGCCCTGAAACCCTGATTCTTAAACCCCTGAAACTGAAACCCTCGACCCCAAACCCTTACACCACCCTAACCCTTGAAGGAACTCCTGAGTGGTAAGGAGTTTCTGTACGGGCTACACGGCAGCAGGATTTCAGGGCTTGAGGTCTCGAGTTCCGGAGGTTTACGGCACCGGGTTTTGCAAAACCCTAAACCCTACTTGGAGGATCGTGGGACTCAGTAAGTAAGGTTAGAAGTACCTTAATTGGGGTTATAAGTATAGTTACCCTAATTATAACCCTAGTTACTAAGTCCCATGATCCTTTAAGTAATCCCAGGTTTTGGAGTCGAGGCCTTGGGGTTGCTGTGTATAGTCAAGCTGGTTTTTGGATATTGCGGTCCTGTGTCTCAAGAGAGCCCTGGTTCGAGAGGCTTTCCCAAGCAGGCTCCACCAAGGGCCATGTGCATTCACACCGACAGCCACGTCAACGCCCTGAAAACCAAGTGGAAATCCCCAGGCACGAACTCTTGGGGCCCTGATAATGAGGCTCCTACTATTTACTGGACTACATTAGGGTCCCCTATTCTCAGAAACTCCCAACTCTTGTTAAGGGGGTTCGGCCATGGTTGCGTCACGCTTTGACAGTCAACTGAGGTCTTTCTGCGAGAAGTGGCAAGGAGACCAGCCAGGGCCTTACCTGTCGAGGACTTCTACATTATATGTAGTAGATTTAAGTTTGTGTAATATGTATTTTGCATGTATAACATGTGTTCTATAGTGTTATGCTATATTATATGACACTTTACAATGTCATAGTTCTGGCGTACGTGCCATCATGTATTTTGTGTTTGGTTGTAGTACATATACATATGTTTATACGAATATGTATTTTTGTGACAAGATATGTGCATTATAAAATATACATATGTACAACATGCATATGTGCATTATACTCCGTTCGTAGTATGTTATGCTATATCACATGTTATTATTAAACCATGTACTGCACACTATGCACAATATAATATATCAGATTTCATGTACCATGGTTTATGTATTTTGTAGTCTTTATGGTATGTTTTGGAATGTCATTTTATGTGATATCATGTGCTGTACTTGTTTCTATCTTATCACTCATCACATTCTAGTAGATGTAATGCTTTGTTAGACATCACCCATGTCTATTGTCTGTTGTGTATATTGTACATTATGCTGCATACGCTAGGTAAATTGTTTACTGTATGACATATGTACTTAAACGCATATATATATATATATATATATATGGTATATATATATATAAACAATTTATAAATAATATATATATATATATATATGTATATATATATATATATATACATCTACATATATATACATATAGTATGTATGTATGTACGTATGTATGTATGTATGTACGTATGTATGTATGTATGTATGTATGTGTTTGTTTCATTTGCCATATGCTTGATCTTTTGCAAGTTCCGGACTGCCAAGGAAACAACAACAGGCGAGATTTTTGAAAATCAGGATTCACCAGATTTCGGCCTCAGGTAAAACCTTAAACCCTAAACCCCTAAATCCGGAAACCCTAAACTCTAAACCCTAAACCCTAAACCCAAGCCGTTACATGGCACCCTAACAGCCGTTTTCATGGTGTCTTCGCAGCGACGGCCGTCCTGATAAGTACAGTCGATGTGGTTGCACAAAGTGTCCACCAAGAACCTTTTGTATATCATAAAAGGTAGTATAATGCAGTACTGTGTAATATAACATGGGGGTATATTATATACCCTATCCCCTAAACCCGGTTGAGCCCTAACTCAGAAACTGTTGCCGTGTGCCAAGGACGCCCGCCAAGGAGTGCTTTGTCGGCTGGGACAGTCCCTGCGTCGACCGGAGGCCTTTTTTAAACGGTTTAGGCTTAGGGTTGCAAGGACGGTGCACCAAGGTTTGTAGTGACGTTTAATTCGGTTGCTTTTTTGGGGAGTAAGGTCAGCATCGCAATGCTAATCAGCAGAGTGTCTGCTATGAAGAATGCAGACATTACAAGTTCAGTGCCGCTGCTGCTGTTCGTCTTAGTGTATTGTCGTTCGTAAAGCCTGTGCCTGAAGGGTATAGTATACTATACCGGTGATAAGGAAAACCCCACAATAGTATTGGTTATCATTTGGGCCCCTAGACCCTGCAGCCTAAACCCCAGACTTCCTTCTTCCCCTCAGAAAGCGTCATCAGACCCCCTGCTCCCTGCAGGCCTATAGGCCTTTTGGTTTTGGAGCTCCGAACATGGGTCCATATCAAGAAATTCAAGAAATGAGCTTGAGGGTTTAGGGTTTAGGGTTTTGACACCAGCGAAAAAAAGAAGAAGGAACGGAAGGGATTTTCAAAGGAATCCTAAACCCGTAAACCTAAAAACCCTTGATCAAACCCTAAGGGAATTCGGAAAGTACCCCTTAACAGAGCCCGAAACCCGAAGACCTGAAATTTTGAGCGACCCTCCAAGAAATCTTTAAAACACGTTTTGCACAAGCTTTTGTTTCAAGGAACACTGAAAGGAACCCTAAACCCCAAGCCTGTCACAGAAACCCTGACAGGAGCCGCAAAGGTGAGAGCACTTTCCTAGTAGTAGAGAAGGTAACCTTTAACCTTTTTTGTCACACGCCGCAAATCGTCTCGATTTTTACCGACGGTGGTGCAAATCCACCTGATTTACCAAATGTCCGCCTCAGCTCGTGGGCAGTTGTAGGATCGTATGGGCGTTCCCATGATTTCTTCCCGATCGGTAGTGGTATCACCCCGGGCCCCTTTCATTGCATCGCTGGGGCAGAAACCTATGCAGTCCTTCAGGCTTTGGGCTCGGCAGTTCGCATAGAAATTTTTACTGACAATTCATCCGTCGTTCTTGGTTTGCAGTCCATCCTGAGCAAGGGCAACCACCCCAGTTTTGATTTGTGGTGTCTCATTGCCCAGGAAGTCATCACGCGTGCCCCAGGGTCTGTGAAAATATCCAAAGTCAAGTCCCATCGTCACCCTACTGAGGCTGAAGATCAGTATGACCTTTGGACGATCCTAGGTAATAACGCGTCAGATGAATTAGCCAGAAGCACACTGTCCCGATCAAGCCACGTTTGGAATTTTGTAGCAGAACGTACAGCAATTGAGACTGCTTATAAGTGTAGCTTGTTTTTGCATGAGGTTTCACGCCTAGTCATGTCCCATAGAAAGGCAAACCCGCGGCCTCAGCCTACTCCCACACCGACCCCGGAGAGTGTATCGGTACAGTACAGCCCTTGGCCAATCCATATCCCCGGTCCTTTCCAAATGCAGACATGGGATGAAAAATGGCTACAGCTTTTCGCACATTACTGGACGTTTTTGGAGTGGCCATCCCCTTTTGAGAGCCCGCCGCCCTCCCAATGGGTTTCTTTCATTGAACTTATGCTAGATCTTTGCATCTCTTTTCAAGTCATGGTGCCGATTAACCTTAAAGTACTCAAGGGGTCTAATTTTTGTGATGCGCCTAAGGTGAATCATAAATCCCCGGCAGTTTATTTCCTCTCAAACCGTTCCGAAGCCACCCGACTGCCCCCGCAGGTATTAACGCAAGCCGCAGGTACCTTCGTGAAATGTTTTGATCTCCTTAATGCTTCTTTGAAGTTGACTCCTTATCCCCGCGAAAATCTGCGATCATTGTCATCTTACAGGTTCACCAATGTTGTTCCATCTTTGAAATCCCGACCCAACCTCCTTTCAGGGTCCCACGTTCGACACCTTCTTGAATCCATCATAGTGCCGGGAGTCCGAGTCCTGAGATATTCGTATCGCATCCCCCAAATCACGCCTCGTCCGTTGCCGGCCTGCTTCCCACAACACTTCTGAGCTTAATTCGCAAATTCGCGAAGCTCGTCTCACGCCTTTCGCTGGGGACGCAGCTTATTCCACGTCGCGCTTTAACCTTTTGGGTAGTATAGTCCCTATATGGGTAGTTGTCAAAATTAGGGTCCCTTTTGGGGTATCCTAAATAATGGGTGCCGTATTAGAATAGTGACCCAAAAGGGGGCCATAATTTTGACAACCACCCATATAATCCCTAGAGATCCAAAACGGTTAACCTTTAGTTCCCCATGATGCCCGACAAGTAGGCTTTCAAGACTCCGATGTCCGAGACATGCCGGGCCAGGGTGGACACGGACTTAGCCAGCCTTTACGAGGTCGGCACCTCAGGCGCTCTTGGCCTTCATTTGAAGCAAATTCGGTATGGAGGTGGTGACAAGGAAGAGGCGTCCAGATTGATCCTAAAAAATCCCTGTTTTGCTGCGCCAAGGAAGACGGCATTCCGGCCCAGTACTGGCCATGGCCCGAGCAGGGTCTTTGGGGATGACGACTCCAGGAAGCCAGATCCCATCATACTAAATGAGCTTAAATAATGCCCTTTAAGGGTTCCTTTTAAAGGGGTCTGTAAGGATTCCATCATAAGCTGGTGTGCAAAAACCTTACTATAGAGCCTTAATAATTATGGGGGTTGAATCAAAGGGGTTTATAAGGGCTACTATATGGGCTAATATAAGGATTTAGTATGGGCTTAAATAATCACCAATACTAGTTTGGGGGTTCCTCAGTATAATTATAGTACAATGGGCCCCAAAACCGTATTCTAACTATTAAGGCCCTTACATATTAGAGACCCTTAGCGGGCAGGGGATAGGCCTTATTGAGTCCTTATTATAGGTATTAAGGCCCCCTACCCCCCTCCCCCTAAAATTTCCCCTACCCCCCTAAGGGTCCCTGTGATCCCACATTGTCAGCCACAAGCCCCTAAGCAACAGCTCACTATGCACAAATCCGACACCTCCCTTCCTTCACTGCGTATCTTTCAGGCCTCTCTCCCACTCCCTCGTCTCTCTCTCTCTCTCTCTCTCTCTCGCTCTCGCTCTCTCTCTCTCGCTCTCTGTCTCTCTCTCTCTCTCTCTCTCTCTCTCTCTCTCTCTCCCTCCCTCCCTAAACCCTAAACCCTAAACCCTAAACCCTAAACCCTAAAACCCTAAAACCCTAAAGCCCTAAACCCTAAACCCTAAAACCCTAAACCCTGTGGGGTTGGTTCCTGGCCCGAGCAGAGGAAGTTTGTTCGTGACCTGAATCCAACCCTATGTTTTGCACACAGGCGGGAGGCGAACAACTGTGAGAGAACATATAAATATATATATATATATATACATACACATATTTCATTATAATATATATATATATATATATATATATACATATATATATATATAACTGCAGTAAGAACGGTGAGAGGGGAGCTAACAACAGTCCTTAGCAACATGGCCTCGTTGGAAGGTAATGCGTTCCCGAAATCCCGAAACCTAAACCCGACCCCCGAAACCTCAAAGGGCTGGCTGAACTCCTAAGCCCTGAGACCCAATACAACTTCACCATACTTATAAGGCAAGTACGATAAAAGTACAATGAGGCTGTTGTGTAAAAGTAGCACGTAAGAACAATACACGTATAAAAACGTAGTGTAAGTATACTATACGCGCCCGATAAGTTCCGTTGCATCATACGTAATTTTAGTAAAAGTACAGTATACGTGTAAAACAATCATGACCTAATCATGACATATAACATTTCGATGTCGTCTTATAATACACTTGTGATATCAGTAATACTAACTAATAGTTACAAGACCTCTTATACTCACAATACTAATCATTAGTAACCATACCTCCAATAATCTGATATCAGTATACCGCGTTTAACCCCTGAACCTTGAACCCTAAACCCTATCTCCGGTGGTTCAGCGAGGTCAATGGTCGCCTGCGATGATTCGAAGGGTGCTCGCCTGAAAAATGCCTCCGACGCCTGCGAGAACCTGCGCCCCGACTTGACAGATGCAATTTTTTGTGCGTTTAGGGGGGGAGGGTTTCGACTGAGGGTTTCGATTTAGAGGGTTTAAGATAGTTTATTTTGGAGGGGCAGGGCTTGGGGGGAGGGGGGCGCTAAGGGTCAAGGATTTTGCTGTTTAGGGTCAGGGTAACGAATTTGAAGTCACGAGTTTCAGTTTGAGTTGGCATCCTGTTGCGTGCTTCATGGGACAAGTCACACACCAACCCTCAAGCAGAAGTGTTAACCGCCAAAGTTAAACCCCCCCCTAACCCCCACGTAAGTGTCCAAGCTATAATACTAGCCCAAACCCTAGCCCAAACCCTAAACCTGAACCCCTAAACCCTAAACCCTAAACCCTAACCCTAAACCCCAAATTCCCTACTGACCCTAAAGCCACGGGAATTTCTAAGCCCTAACCCCAGTCCCCTGTGCGTTGGGTTGAGGGTGCCGCGAGAGGCGTCTGAGACCTCGGGCCTGTGGCGTGGTTGTAAGGATTTTATTAGGTTTAGGGTATAGGGCTTAGGGTTCAGGGTTTCGGGTTTAGGGCTTAGGGTTTAGGGTTTAGGGCTTGAGGGTTTAGGGTTTAGGGTTTAGGGCTTAGGGTTTAGGGTTGAGGGTTTGGGCATGGGTTTAAGGGTCTGGGGTGTGGGAGTGTGCGGTTTAGAAGTTTGGGCCTTGGAAGGGCTTCTATAGTGCGAAACGGAGGCAAGGTAAGTAGGCATGTCGTCGATACCCCTCAACTTTATGAAACGCCGCAGCTCACCACTCTAATCACTTATATTACTGGTCAACCCTAAACCCTACACCTTCAAAGCAAAATCAACCACATCCGTAGTTCTCTAAATTAGGGTCCCTTTGCAGGTCACCAAAATAGTGCCACATCTTTATAAAAAGGTTCCCCAAAAGGGGCACTAAACCTTCAGCCCCTAAACCAAAGCCTAAATAACATGTTCACAGCCCGGTCGTCAGGGAATATGTGGCGGACGTGGCCGGGTGCTTACCGACCGGAGCACTCACCTGAAATGCGGTTTAGAGTTTAGGGATTTAGGGTTTGGGGAAAGACTTGAAAAGAGTTTCCTGATTGGTGGTGGGGTTTAGGTTTCCTTTACAGGTGCTAGTGCTAGAAGGGTTTCTACAAGCATTTTTTGAAGGGTTTCCGAATCCCTTGGGATTCTTTTGAGATTTGGGGCTCTTAAGGTTATTCTTGGGGGTTCATGTTCAGGCCCCCTATACATCTCACCCAGAACCTGAGTCCACTCTGGAACCGAATCGTGTTATTGCAGCGATAGATACACGGGAAGCCAAAAACATGACATTTACCCATCTAACAGGTCCAGGGGCTTGTCGGCAGAGGTCTTGAAAAGTTCTTCTTCAATGGTTCTTAAACTTCGAACCCTAAAGTCTGAACCTCATTAGAATAGGGTTTTGGGGCCCATTATACTAAAATGATAACAAGGAGCCCCCAGAATACTATAGGTGATTATTAAGGCCCCTATATTATGTAACTCCCTGCAGCCCTGAGTGCATTCTTTCCCTAAACCCTAAACCCCTAAACCCCTAAACCCTAAACCCTAAACTCCTAAACCCTTAAACCCCTAAACCCTAAACCCCTAAACCCTAAACCCCTAAACCCCTAAACTCCTAACCCCTAAACCCCACACCTTCGCGGAAAGCTACCCCTAATTAAGTAAAAAACCTTAAATCATAATATGAAGCCCTATATAATTTAAGCCATATTCCTTGAATTTGGGGTATTGGAGTCCCCTAAACCCTAAACCCTATACCCTAAACCTTATAGATCCCTTCTAGATCCCTTTAAAGGAAACCTAGGTATATTCGAGTTAGGGCTCCCCTGAGAGCACGGCGGGGTATTGGGCTTAAACCCTAAACCCTAAACCCCCAAACCCCAAACCCCTAAACCCTAAACCCTAAACCCCCCAACCCCTAAACCCTAAACCCCCAAACCCCAAACCCCTAAACCCTAAACCCTAAACCCCCAAACCCCTAAACCCTAAACCCTAAACCCTAAACCCCCAAACCCCTAAACCCTAAACCCCCTAAACCCTAAACCCTAAACCCCTAAACCCCTAAACCCTAAACCCTAAACCCCTAAACCCCTAAACCCCTAAACCCCCAAACCCCTAAACCCCCAAACCCCTAAACCCTAAACCCCACACCTTCGCGGAAAGACTCAGGTCTGCTTGATTCACCTCTTCTTGTCGATGCCGATGCGCGGCGCTCGGTAAAAATGTTCCGGTTGTAGAGTTTGTAAAAATGTTCGGGTTACAGAGTTTGTAAAGATGTTCCGGTTGTAGAGTTTGTAAAATGTTTTGGTTGTAGAGTTTGTAAAATGTTCCGGTTATAGAGTTTGTAGAATGTTCAGGTTGTAGAGTTTGCAAAATGTTCCGATTATAGAGTTTGGGAGCCGCTACCATCTGGCAAGGATTGTGCACGAAAAGTCTTTGCATTTCTATGGAGGAAATGAGCTGGAAAGTCTCGAGGCATCCATACTTGGAGGATCATGGGACTTAGCAACTAGGGTTATAACTAGGGTAAGTATACTTATAACCCCAATTAAGGTACTTGTAACCTTACTTACTAAGTCCCATGATCCTTTAAGTAGAGTTTGGATGGTGAACAGTCAGTCCGACATGTCACTGCAGACCTCACACTGTGAACGTTTGCCGGGCCGGTTCCCGCGGTGTAAGTCCTGGCAAAGGCCAAGGGTCCAGAAGCGAACAGTCTCAGTCACAGCAGGAGTGTTGTAAGCAATCTTCAGATCAGTCATGTTGATTATCATTGTCATGGTTGTCACCTTTTTGGGTTTTCTAGTAGTGGTAGTGGTGCTGGTAGTGGTAGTAGTAGTAGTAGTAGTGGTAGTAGTAGTAGTAGTAGTAGTAGTAGTAGTAGTAGTCGTAGTAGCAGTAGCAGTAGCAGTAGCAGTAGCAGTAGCGGTAGCAGTAGCAGTGTAGTAGTAGTAGTAGTAGTAGTAGTCGTAGTAGCAGTAGCAGTAGCAGTAGCAGTAGCAGTAGCGGTAGCAGTAGCAGTAGCAGTAGCAGTAGTAGTAGTAGCAGTAGCAGTAGCAGTGGCAGTGGCAGTGGCAGTGGCAGTGGCAGTGGCAGTGGCAGTGGCAGTGGCAGTGGCAGTGGCAGCAGTTGTAGTAGCAGTGGTAATCCTAGTCGTAGTCTTATATACGAGTTGTCGTAGTGCTAGTCGTCGTCGTAGTGGTAGTCGTAGCCGCAGTGGTAGCAGTAGGAGTAGTGGTTGTGATTGTGAAGATTAGAATGTGCTGGATGACCGACTCAGCTCAAATCATGTTTGTGTTGCTGCCGCTGCTCTCTTTTTTTTGGCGGTGTTCGTGCTTTAGTATCGCCAGCAGTACATGTTGTTGGCGGCTAGTATTGATACTGCTGCTGCTGCTGCTGCTGCTGTAGACTAAGGGGTGAGGTGGGCCAGGAATGCGAGAGCTTTGGTCCGGTCTTCATGCCCCTTGCGGCTGCTATCCATGCCTCTAGGTCTACTTAAAGGATCATGGGACTTAGCAGGGTTATAATTAGGGAAACTATACTTATAACCCCAATTAAGGTACTTATAACCTTACTAAGTCCCATGATCCTCCAAGTACCGTAGCCAAGCATACGACCGCGCGGATGCGTAGATTTAATTGCATGCGCCGTTGCACACCTGTGTGCATGTCAATAAGCTCAGGGTGGCTGTGCTCTACAACTTCATCTCCAACCAGTGTGGCGATGACTTCCAGAATCTAGGCTCTTCAATCGCGGGCGTTTTTCGTGGTTCAGGAGGCAAGAGCTTTCTGCGGGGTTCTTTGCGGTGCCAAGGGCTGTTGCAGGCTTGTAGTTTGCTTTACAGGGATTGTACAATCGATCAGGGTACTGTACTCGGAAGGCTAAAGGTTAGGTCACTGGGTTCAGTTCTTACAGAAGAGTCAGGAGTATGGGTCCTGCTAGGGCTCGGGTCTACCACCACCCTCGTCTTCTTCATTACCATCGCCACAGCCGTCACCATCAACGTCCCTACGTTATTGCATCGTTGCCACTGTTGTCGTCGTCGTCGGTTTTTGTTCTGTTTTGCTGTTGTTGTTGTTGTTGTTGCTGCTGTTTCGTCGTCATCATTTGGGTACGGCCCCCACTCAGTAATAGTTGAATAATATTCATACTATAGATATAGTAGGACCTTAATAGTCGCCCTATTATAGACTCTTACTGCATGGGGGCCGTACCTAAGTCATCATCATATTCCTCAAAGCCTCGCTCTTCACTGGCGTGATGATGTACAGCCCAGCCAAGCAAATCGAGATCGTTGCAAGAACAGGGGTGGGAGCGGTCGACGTCTTTATATGCCTTGCATACACTTTGGGCATGTTCCAGGGACGCAGGAGTTGAGATAATTTGTAGCCCTTGATGACAATAGACATCTGTTTTGAAGCGGTCTTCCTACCTCTGTACTCAAGCAAGTCACAGGCCGTGTTCCTGAAGCGTATTTGTATCGCTACTGTTTTCTCGAGTCGTAGTGAAACCCTCCTCAGAACTCTCTGAACCCTAAACCCTCAACTCCTAAATCCCTACACCCCTAAACCCCAGACTCTTTTGCTCTAAACCCTTAAATACCCAAACCCTAGACTCTTTTACCCTAAGCCCTAAACCCCCTAAGCCCTAGACTCTTTAACTCTTGAAAACCAGTCGCTTGGCGCGGGCGCTCCTGCAAACATTGCGCCCGAAGCTACTAGGACCCAGAGTAGGCCCCCATTCCATGTTTAGGGTTCAGGTTCCCTTCTAACTCCTTCAAACCAAAACGGGCACCCTTTTTCTTCCTAGGTTACTCTTGGTTCTAGGCTATGACTCGCCAGAGACTTCAGAATCTCTCAATTGGCGGATATATAGTTACCACAGATACCTTTAACTTCTGGAACCCTAGACACCTCAACCCATGGGGTGTAAGGGTTTAGGGTTTAGGGTTATTTCAGAGCCTACTTCTCGTCAAGGGTTATCGAGGTAAAGCCCTTCCACACTACAAATGCCACATCAGCCCCCCTTCCTTTAAGGTCTATTGCTTACTTACGCTGTTTTGGAGTCTCTGGCCCTAAACCCCTAAACCCTAAACCCCGAAACCATAAACTTAAACCCCTTACCTAAACCTCCAACCTTGAACCCTGAGCGCACCGAACCGAGGATGGAAAGCCAGTTCGCCGTCCAGAGCCCCTGAGATGCAACACGCAGGGTTTAGGGTTTAGGGAAAGGGGGGGGCATTTTGTGTGTAATGGGGCTTTTGGTATAGTCGGTTTAGCAGTTTGCCAGGTTTGCACTGAAAATGCCTAGACTTTTTCACCTCTAGGGTTTATGATCGGCTTTTGCTTTGGGTTTAGGGCCAAAGTGAACTGTTTTTAAGCCGACTACAGCGAGGGTGGTACTGTATAGGCTTAGTGTGATGACTTGAGAGGGGGCCTGTCGGGATGGCGATTTGGTTACCCTAAACCCTAAACCCTAAACCCCTAGACCCCTAAACCCTAAACCCTAAACCCTAAACCCCTAAACCCTAAACCCTAAACCCTAGGCTGAAGATTCTGAACGCCAAAGTCTCTACCAGGGTGTGGTGGGCTTGGGACGGGCTGAAGATCTTGCGGACCTAGTCGCTGTGTTTCGAACCGTGGAGAGCTAGACCCTAAATCGTAAACCCCGTAAGCCCTGAACCAGAAAACCCGGAAGCCCCAGATCCATCTAGAGGCAGCAGCAGCGACGAGGACGACGACGACAATGATGAGTTCCAGGCCGGCAAAGGCAGCGACAAGGCCCACGCCTCGCCAAGCAACCCTGACACTTGGATTGGGGGTTCGTAGGACTTAGAGTTTAGGGCTCGGGGTTAAGGTTTACCTGGATTTTAGATTCGAGAGTTTACCTCAGAGGCAAACTCTAAGACTTAAAACCTCTACAAAGGCAACTAATTTCGTGAAGGAAAACGGTCATTCCTGAACATTAGGGTTTAGGGTTTCCTAAACCCTAAACTCCTAAACCCTAAGCCGCGGCATTACGATAAAGAGGCTTCTCCATGACAGACCCGTCGATGATGCGGAATGGTGACGGTGAGCTCCATGATGTAACGGTTCGCCATTGAGAGAGCAACACTGTCATGAGTCCGGTGACAATTGTGCACTGAACCCCAAACCCGAAACCGTGCCAAAGAAGCATACATCAACTCTACACTAGTGGTCTACAAAACATAACCACTAGCAGTAGTCATGGTTTTGCCGGACCTGGTACCCCAAGTGCAACGACAACTTGAAACTTGGCATGGTCTCAGCTTCCCGTGGCACTACATACTTGTACTTAAGCCAGGGTATCAGAAGAGGAGCTACTGAGAGAGAAGATTTCAAGGGACCAAGACCTACGTACTCGAACTGGATCCATGGTATTCTGGATGAAGGCGAAGGAGGCCGTCGGTAGGCAAAAGCAAGCCGTGGGCCGAAATCCAGAACCCACCAAATCGAGACCTCAAACCCTAAGGCGGACGACCGAAGCCCTCAACAGCCCCTAAACCCTAAACCATAAGGCCAGAACCGAAACTCCCAAAGCCCGAAAGAGGCCGAGAGCGAAACTGCGGGCGATGATGCTGCTGTCCCGCATCTTCGGCTGCATACCACCCTTTGCACTACTACTCTACCCCTGCCCCTACCCCTGAGTACCCGTTCTTCTCCTACACTGGCTACTAATTACTGCTAGTACAACAACAACTACTAAGCCGACTCCTACAGGTGCGACTTCTGATACTCCTAACTACTGCTCCGCCTCCAACGACTCCTGCGACTCCCACTGCTACCCCGACTACCACTACCCCTACCACTGCAACTGCCACAACTAGTACTAGTACTAGTACTAGTACTTACATACTACTACTACTCCTACTACTACTACTACTACTACTACTACTACTACTACTACTACGACTACTACTACTACTACTACTACTACTACTACTACTACTACTACTACTACTACTACTGCTACATACTACCTACTACCTACTACCTACTACGTACTACGTACTACGTACTGCGTACTACGTACTGCATACTGCATACTGCATACTACATACTACATACTACATACTACATACTACATACTACATACTACATACTACATACTTCATACTTCATACTACATACTACATACTACATACTACATACTACATACTACATACTACATACTACATACTACATACTACATACTACATACTGCTACTACTACTACTACTACTACTACTACTACTCCTGCTACTACTACTACGACGACTACTACTACTACGACGACTACTACTACTACTACTACGACGACGACTACTACTACTACTCCTTGTCGAAGTCCTTGTCCTACTTCTAGTCCTACTCCTACTGCTAGCACTACTGCTACTACTACTACTACTACTACTACTACTTCTTCTCCTCCTCGATGAGCATTGTGCGCCCTCGTCACTGTCACCGTCATCATCTGTTTTTCCTCCTGTCGCATGTGCGGGACTTAAAGCTTCTTCATACAACAAATGGCAGTGCCGAGAAAAGACCTCTTGCCTTCGGGTTGCAGTGGCAAGTGTAGTAGAGCATCATCAACAGGAATCGCTGTCGGCTGGTAAGAGAGGAGTGTGAAGAACAAGAGTGCGATAATGCCAGCAAAGGAAGTTCGCCGGCGAAAATGCCGCTGCGAACCTCGGCGAAGACGAAGATGCTCATTCCTGGGTTCACTAACGCTGCATGGGCTTTGTTTTCCTCTCTGCCTAAACAGCCTCGAGCCTTCAAAGCGTTTCAACAAAGCGACTCAAACCCTCAACGTTCAACCACAGAACCACAGACCGAGACCGCAAAGACCTCTAACCCTCGCCCCTAAGCCTCCAAAGCAAGTCTGGAACGAGTTTCCATTATGCGACTCTCTCTGTTCCTCTCCCTCTCTCTCCCTCTCTTTCTCTCTCTCTCTCACATGATTCTTATACTGATAGATATGTTTTCATTTATTAGACAAGTGTATACTCAGTCTGCCTTCTTCTTCGGACCCGAGGAAGCCTGACGAGGCCAAGGAGAGTGCCTCGCCGGAGAGAAAGGATGGCCGGGTGGACGGAGAGGGTGCGGGGAGGTCGGGGCATTCTGTCAATTCGGGACGGCGTTTCAAAGGTTTTCAGAGGATTTACAGTGTTGTGCAGAGGCTTCGTAGGTTTTTGACACCGGGATTGTTTTTTGACTTGGGGTCTCAAACATTTGGGATAAAGTTTCGGGGTTCAGGGTTGTGGGTTGAGGTTCTTGGCGTTAGTGCTCCGGGGTAAACCAACATAGCTTGCCCTAAGCACTGTAAAACCCTTGTCGAACACTATATCGCTATGTGAGACGCATTCGGCAACAATCGGGTGTTTTGGCGTTTATAGGGCCTTGTAGTGTCTAGCGGGTCTCTCTACCCTAAACCCTAAACCCTTAAACCCTGAACCGAGAGCGAAAGTCCACTGCACCCTAAAACAACCCTGATTAGTAGAGTTTATGTAGGGTCTAGTCATAGCCCTAGACCCTTAAACGCTAAACCCTAAACCCCTAAAGCCTTAACCCCTAAAGCCTTATTAGTAGGGTTTTTAGGGTGTTATCTTGCGGATTTCTCTCTAAAAGAAAGCCGAGGCTCCTTCTGAAGAGACCTGGCCACTCGAGCGACAGCGACTTCTGTGCAGGTCCAAAAGAGGGGAGAGGACCCCAAGGAATCTCATCTGGGGATCTATAAGGGCTCCTTGAAGGAATCTAGAAGGGGGGTTCCTTGAAGGGCTTAGGGTTTAGAGGTCCAAGTTACCATAATACGGTTGATGATCTAAAACCTGCATTACCCAAAAAAGGAATGTACCATAATTCCCATAGCCTGGGGTCCTTAAGGTAATGCAGGATTTATATCATCAACCGTAAGGGATTTATAGTAAATACGATGGTTTCTTTACCATGGTAACTTAAGTTAAATCCCTTGGCACTTGGAGGATCATGGGACTTAGTAAGTAGGGTTATAAGTACCTTAATTGGGGTTAGAAGTATAGTTACCCCGGTTATAACCCTAGTTACTAAGTCCCATGATCCTTTAAGTAGACCCCAAAGCCCCTCTTATAATGGATCCCCTAATAGATCCCCTTTAAAGGAGCCCCTTAAAGTATAGCCTTAGCTACTAAGTCCCATGATCCTTGAAGTACCCTAAACCCTTATAGATCCATTATAGAACCCTTTAAGGAACCCTTGTAGATCCCTTTAAGGAGCCCTTTAAGGAACCCACACGCCAGGCGGTGAGGGCATAGTCAGGGTTCCGCCCGTTTTTCTTGAGGCTCCTCAAGGCTTCCATAACTAGGGTTTAGGGTTTAGAGTCTAGGGGTTAGGGTTTAGGGTTTAGGGTTTCGGTTTAGGGTTTAGGGTTTAGGGGGATGCCCAGTAGTACCCTTATTCCCTTTTTGTAGTGCTAGGTTCCTTATAAAGTTACCCAATACCAAAAAGAGAGGCCTTTTTTTTCTTAGGTTACTGGGTATCCTAGATAAGGGTTACAAGGTTTCGTGTTTGGTGGAGTTATGCAAGATCTACATTGGTTTAGGGCTTTGCTCAGTAGCTAGTTCGGTTTAAGGGTGATTTAGGGTTGGACGCTTAGGGTGATTTAGCATTTTTCAAAGGCGAGTTGATTAGGCTTTGGGGTCTGGGCTCCGGATTCAGGAATTACAATTCTAGCCGAGGGTTTAAGATACGGTTCATAGTAGCTAAGTCCACTTGCTACCACTATGACGACGACAACTGCAACCAGAAATACAGCCACGACGACGACAACGACGATGACGACGACGACCACGACGGCGACGACACTCGCGACGACTACGACGACTACCACGTCGACGACGACAACCATCGTGACCAGGGCGACGACTACTGCGACCACTACCGCTACCACTACTGCTTCGACACCGATAACGACAGCAGCGACGACGATAAGGATCACTACTGCTACTGCCGTTGCCGCTGCTGCTGATCTGGACCTTGCTGATGACGTCCGTAGTGCAGCAATCCGGAACCTGCATTTTGACGAAAAGTCCTAGAAGTCTTGGGGATAGTATAGGGGCCTTAATATTTAGAGTATGGTTTTGCGGGTCCATATTCTAAATATGATAGAATAGTGGGCTCCAACACCCTATTCTAATTATTATGGCCCCTATAGAAGATGGTGCAGTCAGTCGCGACTACAAAGCCATCCCAGCTGAAGCTTCCAGAAGAGTCACGTCATGGTGTTTTTTTCACAGCCAAGGCTCCAAACGATGAGCTCTAAACCTGCAAGTTTTCAACGGAATTCAAGCAAAGCCCCCGTACACCCGCCGCAGGTTAACCCGACTTTCGGGTTCGTGAACCTAGTGTTGCATTACTTGGAGGATCATGGGACTTAGTAAGTAGGGTTATAAGTACCTTAGTTGGGGTTGTAAGTATAGTTACCTTATTTATAACCCTAGTTACTAAGTCCCATGATCCTTTAAGTAGCGTCCGTCCTGCGGCAGGTCCATCACGACGGCGAGATGCAGATGAGAACGAGGGCTCACGTCTCACCCCCTCACCCTTCCCCCGTGTTGCTTGCAGAGCAGCCCGTCTGGGACGCGCTTGCGCCAAAAGTTGCTCCCTAACCCTAAACTAAACCCTACCACCCTGAACCCTAAACCCTTAAACACTGAACACTAAACTCTGAAACCCTAAACCCAAAATCCTAAAGCCGAGCCCTGAGCCCTGAACCCTAAATCTTTAGCGCTAAATCCTCAAAACCCTAAACCCTTAAGTTCTGTGCCGCTTGTTTTGTTGGGTTCTCATTATGTAGGGCCATACTTTAGGGTTCCGTTAAAGGGTTCCTTTACAGGGGTCTATAAGGGATCCATAAGGGCACTATTATATAGGGGCCTAAATAATTACCTATACAAATTTCGGGGGTTCCTTATTATAACTATAGTAGAATGGGCCCCAAAACTCTATTCTAACTCTTAAGGCCCCTACAGTAGCTGTTTTGGAAGAGGTCTGTTGAGCTTAGAGTCTAGGTGGGGGTTTTAGTGACATGAGGTTGAGGGCAGTTTAAAGCCATACTTGGCCACAGAAGAAGGGTCTCGTAGACCAAGGCCCCGAACGGAGCCTAAATAGTGGGATCTACACTGTACGGGTCTGCAAACGGAGTTCCCCCCAAATTTGCAGAACCTCGCTATTCCTGGAAGTTTACTGTAGGGGCCTAGATAATTACCAATACTGCTTTGGGCGTCCCTTATTCTGAATATAGCATAATGAGCCCCAGCACCCTATTCTAATTATTAACGCCTCTTCATTCGGGATCTGTGGAACTTCCAAAAACCAGAACTTCGCAACTACCGTGAAGCCATGGCAGGGTTTCCTCCGCATAAAGAGCTCCCCAAACCCTACTTAAAGAATCATGGGACTTAGTAACTAGGGCGATAATTTGGGTAACTATACTTATAACCCCAATTCAGGTACTTATAACCTTACTTACTAAGTCCCATGATCCTCCAAGTAAACCCCTTAAACATTTGCGAAGCCTTAAACTGTGGTTGTTGCAGGAGCTTAACACCTTCATACAAGCCCCTCCACAACTTGCAATAAAGCACGTCTAGACATTCCTACCAAAAAGCCAGCCAGGTCCGCCTGCTTGGCAGCGGCTCGTGTGGCGAGGCTTAGAATATAACACAATAAACTAATAGTGATAGTAATAAGTGAAATACTACTAATAATATTAATCATAATAATACTTGTTATATGTATATATAGAGTATATCTAATGTAATAGTGGGATCGGGAGGCTTTTCACCAAGGAGGCTGAATAACTTGAAATGGGGTTCGGGGTGCTATAGTACAGCGCCGGGGCGACTGATTATAAGAGAGGCTTTGAATGGGCCTAGGGGTACTGTGAAAGGTATCCTGACATTTTATGAAGTTTGTAGGGATTCGTAAGGTTTTCTAGGGTTTAATGTCACGGGTATAGGGGTTTAGGATTTTGAGGTTGCGGCTTTGGGGCCTTGGGGTTTTGAGGGTTTGGAGTTTTGGCGTTGATGATTGGAGATGTGGGATTTAGGGCTCAGGCAGGTTCGGTGTTTGGTGTTTCAAACGCAGGTTGAAGGTTGGGGATGTGATGTTGATGATTGTTGGTGATGGTGATGATGATCAGGATGACGATGGCTTTTATGATGCATGTTGATAGCGGTGACAGAGTTGGTTGTCGTGGTGGTTGCGATGATCGTGCTGCTGCCCTATGCCGAAAGCCCAAACACACACAATATTGTGGCTGGATAATTGGTAACTACTTTTGCCGAGTTATGTAAATTTTGTACTACACACACACCAAGACCCTATGCCTCTTACGGTTGAGAGGCTCTTCCTTCCGGCAGGTCTCTCTGGTGAAACGACGCCGGGATGGACTGCCGGGCACTCGATGCTGAAGAAGTGGTCGCGTGAGGAGGCTTTAGGGGAATGGAGGGCTTAGAGGCCTTGGCTTTAGTTAGGGTCTGCTATGGGGTTTAGGTTTCAGAGCAGTTGGATTAGGGATTTAGGGATCTGGCGGTTCGTAAGACTAAGATATGCCAAATGTTCAATTGATGTTGTGGCTTTGCGGTTGCGGCATTGCATGATGAGAACCTGAGCTGCAAACGGGAATCCGTTCCGAGAGCTCTTTCAAAGATAATATGCAGCGTGCACACAGCGCGTTGAATGCCACATTTATGCACCATGGCGGTCATATGCATGTGTTGTGCATTTATCCCGTTTTCTCGCTGCACGCACGGGCACGCGACTGTGCATTCGTGCAAATCATATCTTCAGGAACGGCGACAAATCTGCGAACAGCAGCTCCAGACCACAATGAAGCTGCCTTCATGCTCATGGGTGCGGTAACAGGTCTTGGGAAGCAAATGCCCATAATTAAGCCCCCATCTGACAGGCCCCACAGTCCGACTTTTGAGAGCTGCCGGAAAGCTCAAGCAGCTTATTGTGCCAGCCAGTAGCCTAGGCTTTCACACCCGAAAAGATCCTCTACGCCCCTGAATAGCCCAAAGCCGGTAACGTGAAACAAGGCCTTTCGGGAGACCTCAACTCAAAGCCCTACTTGGAGGTTCACGGGTAGCTATAATTAGGGTTGTAAGTGGGGTAACTCTGCTTGTAACCCATGTTAGGGGACTTATAAACCCACTTATAACTACCTATGAACTTCGAAGTAGAAAGCTTCAACCCAGCCTTCGAGGACCATAAACTCTAGAAGTTTAGGGTTTAGGGATTTAAACTTAAACCTTGAAAGGCCCTGAGTTGGTTTAGAGCTTAGGGACTTAAACTTAAACCCCAAAAGGCCCTGAGTTCTACGCCTACAGAACCCCTGGTGCAGGCGCTGGCAGTAGGATCTTTGTCAGTAGCACCCCGAAAAGGGAGCCAAGAGTTTTTGGAAACCCCCAAATGACCCTGTAGTTATACTGTACAGTTGAAATTATCAAGGGTCCTAAGCTAAGCCCTACTGCCATGAATCTGTTCGTAGAAAACGCTTACAGTAACCCAAGACACTCAAAGAGGAGCCCTACTTTCGGACCTTTGAAACCCTAAGACCTAAAGCCCACATGGGAGTTTCCGGAAATTAGGGGTATCTTATGCTGGG